TTCGTTTTTTGAAAAAAATATTTATTTATTCGTCTACATTAATGATGTCGCCTTCAAAATAGTCCCCATTGGATATTATGCACATGTGCCAGCTCTTCTTCCAATACTCGAAACACTTCTAAAACTCGAATAGCCTTTAGTTCTTTCAGCGATGCGCTTTTAATGTCATCTATGCTTGCAAAACGACGGCCCTTTAAGGTTCTCTTTATTTTTGGGAATAGGAAAAAGTCAGACAGAGGCATGTCTGGCGAATATGGAGGCTGGGACATCATTACAGTATTGTTTTTGGACAAAAATTTTGTTCAAAACTTAACAATTTTGGAACAATTTTTTCTGCCACGCGTTGTACCCAAAAAATTAAAAAAAAAATTATGAGATGAGCCAATCGATATACCAACATTATCAGCGACTTCTCTGATGGTTTATAACCATTTCTTCCACTTTTTTCATGTTTTTATCGGTTGTTAATGTGCTTGGACATTCGGGGCATTCGTCATCTTCAACGTCTGCACGGCCATCTTGGAAACTCTTATACCACTTGTAAACTCTTGTTTTACTTATAGCAGACTCATTATAGGCCTTTGTTAACATTTTACAGAATTTATTTCATTTTTTAAGCAAAATTGGATACAAATTTCTTTGATACTTTTCTTTTAACGAACGAAAATCGCCGAGCTCATAAAACACGTCTAACCTTAGCGGCTGCCACAGACAAAGTAAACGATGAAAACACCTAAAGTTTTTATCATACTTCGGGGGCATGTATACCAACATAATAAAGAACATTTTATGACAACCGGACCCTCCGAACCCGCGAAATTTAACAATTCCCGTTATTTTCTGAACACACCTCGTATATGCTATTAATACGGGGGACAAGTAATGCTTATATAAAAAATTAAAATAAAATTAATAAAATTAATTTATTTTTATATAGAAAAACAAAACAATGAAGAACTAACTTGATTTTTACAATTTTTAAATAACCTAAAACAGAACTTTACCTATAACATTTCGTCACCTTTACGCCTTTCTGCACAAGGGAACCAACCCACAGAAATAACAAAAAATCGAGATAACCCATATATCCCGATTTTTTTTAATTTTGTGGGTTATTTATCTTCTGCAGAAAGGGTTTTATTGATTAATTTTAATATTTAACCTACTTAAAAAAATTGAGCCTTCTGCCTGGGCGCCTATTGGCTTCGCGGCGCCCTAGGCCATGGCCTAGGTTGGCCTATAGGTTAATCCAGCACTGCGCTGTGTGTAAACAATCTGAGTATAGTTTGCATCGTCCTCATCGTTAAAGTATCCACATGTACTAAAATCCGCATTTCGCCTATCGTGGATATTTCTTGAAACACCCATGTTCTGATAGGACTAATAAAATAGCCCACGTCGACGTATAGTCTGATTAACCATCTTTGAAGATCTAGAGTTAACGAAGTCCACTTTCCCCTTTCTGGGTTTGTTCATATTTCCTGTCATTTAGTCTAAAGTTTATACATGATAAATACAAGCAGCTTTAGCCAAGATGGTTCAATTGGCACTGCAAAAGCTGATTCTCATTATTCGCAGTACCCGCGTTCTTTAGGTACTTCCGTCCAACAGAAAAACACCGTAAGTTGATTTTTCTCAGAAATGAGATTTTAAGTTTTCTAGATGTTTAAGGATAAATATTTAAAATTTTTGCATCCAATTATTTTTATTTTTTTAAACTAATTAGAAAAAAACAAACAAAAATTAGGTGATTTGTAAGTATTAAGAAAAAAAACCATATTACATAGAATAAAAGCCGTAAGTGTCAAGACCCCGTATGTGTAGGGGGTATTTAAAAATTACAAAGCAAAAATGCCGTATGTTTAACGTATTTTGTAACATACGTCATTTATGCCTAGTTACCATTGCCACTTGTACCGCGCTTACATCTTTTATCGTACATTCGGTGTTCTGGCCTAGCAACTATGCACCAATATTTTAAACTCAATTGGCCTTGGCAACGTAAGTCTTGACATACGGTGTTTTTACGTAGGAAAGAAGATTTTTTTTATTTCAGTGCGCGCAACTTTGCTTACGGGGCCGAGGATGGCGCAGTGGGTTGAGCTATAGAGCTGTAAACAATCTGCGTCTAACGGTACCGGGTTCGATTCCCGGTCCACAGCCTTGGGTGTTGTAGTTGTTTATTAAACAAAAAAAAATAAAAATATCATGAGCTGGCTAAATAGTTTGTAAAAGACTAAAAGCCAATAAATCAAAAAAAAAAGTTTGCTTACGTATTAACATACGGTGTTCTTATCTAGTTACTACATATCAAAATCAACGTAGTTGCGTTTTGGTGGTCAGCAAGTATGCGTGGATATTTGTTTTTTGTTTTCGTGGTATTTTTTATAAATTATTTTAAGCCAAAATGGGATCGAAAGCTACACTAATGGTCCTCCAGGCCATAAATAATTATCAAAAAGATTCAGATAAAAATAATAATTATCGAAACAGTCAAACTGAAAAGGTTACCTCCCAGATTAATCATATCAACGATATATCAATAAATGATATAATTTTATTAGATGAAAACATGCAGCCATTGATAACACAGAGTTTCATTGATAAAAATTCTAGAGAATGCTGCCCGATAATGGCCATACTAAACAGAATGCCAACGAGTATACTGATTTTGACAAATGCTTTCAGTAGCTGAATCATATTAAAAAGGCAGAAATGTCCAGGGAAGAATATAGAAGTGACAAGAAGAAAATTGAGGATGATGCTCCTATAATATTCTACTTATATGCAAAAGGTAATCATTCTACTAAGAATCGATATGTTTAAACAAGTAATTTTTACACCAAGAATCATTGTTTTTAACCAGTCATTTGTTCCATTGGGCTCCATTTCACAAAAAAAGCGGTAGCATGAATGCATATCAGGCCGTAAAAAAGAAGACATAATAAGTGCCTATAATGGGTTTACGACAAGTTATGCCAGAGATAAAAAATATATCTATTTATGGACTGATAACTGCAGCGCTTAAAATAAAAACTGGTGCTCTTTGAGGATAATGAATTAAATATGCTCTCAAAAAAAATTCTTTAAAAGATCCTGAACATTATACCACTGATCGTGGAATTTCTTCTGATCAAATCAAATTCTTAACAACTTCTCCTCTGTAATTCCAAAATATAAATTATAATTTTGGTAGGACCTTCATGAAAGCAACGCTCAAAATTTAATTAATGAAGTTGAAGATGATTAAACCGCCAATTTCAAAGTTATTTAATAAAATATGTTTAATTTTTTATACCTTTTTCTTTGGTATTTTTGAACTCTTTGTTTTTGTGCAATATATTAAAAAAATACATCTGACTATACAAATACATCTGACTATACAAATCAAAATCACCGTATGATAGAGTGTGCAATTTTCAACTTATGGCTTTTATGCTAAGAAATTAAAACATGTTTAATAATAAACAGTAACGTATATTCCAAAAATATGATTTTTTTTTTCAAATACTAAAATGATTTTAAAAATGACTATATTTATACACATATACATTTATATACAGCATAAACTTAAGTAAACCAATCTTCTTAGTTGTTTTTTATGGGCTTGTTTTTAGGGAAAATTACAAAAATACAAGGAATTTTTCCACCTTTTGTACTAAAGTTTTTTTGGTAAATACTAAAAATTTATAAAAATTATCCTACTGAACCAAAATAGACATTATCGGGGGGAGTTTTGCCTGTATATTTACAATTGTACATAATACTTATTTTATATATATATCATATTAAATAGATTTCAATTTAAATTCTTTAATTTTACACTTTGTAGCTTAATTTTAACATTATAGTAAAAAAAGGTAAATTAATAAATTGGTTTAATTGGAATTAGTATGACTTTCCATAAACTTTATAATTAAGCTCATTTTTAACAAATAATAAAAAAGTAAAAATAGTATATTATGTATCAAGTTTTATAAAGTTACGAGTCTAATTAAGCACGAGCGAAGCTTGCGAGCGAGTGTTTAATAAAAACGAGTGTCTAGAGAAGTTTATAAACGAGTTGCATACTATACTTTATCTACGACGAACACAAAACAGAATTTAAAGCCCGTGGCGTAAAATGTCGAAAAGCCACTGTTGTTAACTTCAGCCCGTCAATAAAACGCCATAAAGTCACAGCTCGTCAATGTAGGAGTAGATAATATCTAGTTATTTGTTTTACAAGTGTTGAAAAGCGACTTTTTCATGCGAGTTTTTAAGTTACCCACGAGGCCGTTAGGCATTAACACGAGCTTAAAGAAAGCTTTTCTCACAAGTATAACACAATGTTTTTTCTGAGACCCTTTTATTTTTTATTATTTTTAAATACAAAACAAAATAACCTAAAAACTTTTTTGACAGCTAAATGTCAAACGATGCTTTCCGGTTCTTTTCACACAGACCTGTCACTTTTCACACAGAAATGTCACTTTACATTCGTGTTTTGCCTTGCCACTGAAAAGATTCATTTTCTAAGCAACGATGCCATCATGAAAAGTCACTTTTACATAGTGGTCGTAGAAAAAATAATATAATGTTCAGGGTGATTTAATATATTTGTTAAATTAAAAAAAATTGAGGTTATGTTGTTCTGTAATAATTTCCCCCAGGACTTTTCCTTTTTTATATTCCGTTAGTTGCCATTTTACTTAAAAAAAATCCGCCATAAAACACTTTAACATTTTTGGCTAACATGATTTTATCACTGATTTTATGAAATAAATTACGCCTTATAAGGCGTATACATATATAATGTATATATACATTTTAAATAAAAAATTATATTTAAGACAACATAACCTCAAATTTTCAAATTTTTACAAATATATTTTTAGTCTAAAACCAGTTGTTAAATATCTTATCATGTTTTTGCACAATAAGGAAAAGACGTACAGTTTTAATCAACCTGTACTCTAATTACTATTATTTACCACTATTATAATTGTGTGTTAACATACCTGGAAAATCTGCAATAAAAAGTACTTCAGTTTGATTGGACCAAGAGTAGACTTCTTCGCTAATTTCTTTTAGTCTTTTCCTAAATCCATTAAATTTTGACAAAAGTGGTAGTAACCATGGCACTGGTTTAATAGGAGACCAATTAGCTTTAAGTAAATCATAGTTAGGATTATACATTCTTTGTTGAAAACGACCATTCATTGAACACCAAACATCTATATAAATTGATATATTTTCAGACGTAATAAATTGTGGCTCTTCATTTGCAGGGATACTTAAAGGATTATTGTCTAAAAACATATATTTTATATAAAATATAAAAATGAAATATGTAGAGAATTTGAGCAAAAATTGTGTGTGATTTTTTAAAGGTTTATTTCCCCATAATAGGCAATATCAATTTGAATAGCATATACAATTTAATTTAGACTTTTCCATAAAGTCAATAGTTTTCAAGATATTCATTTTTTTCGCTAAAATTTTGCTAAATGAACGTTAATCAAAAATAGCCTATAATTTTTTTATTATTATGTTTGCTGACATGGGGTTAGAATTTTTGAAATATTAAAACATTGTTTAAATAAATTAAATTATTAAAGGTTTTTTAACAAATAGCTTAAGAAAAACCACTTGAAATTAGGGAAACAATAATAACGTTTTTATTATAAATGTAAAACCATGTACCTATGTTTTAACATAATCAAATAGAAAATTAAAGAATCTTACGATTGGTATTATGTTTCCTAAAGTTAAAAGTTTTTATATTTTATTAGTTTTATACTTTTGTTTGACTAATCTTTTGTTTTAATTTTTGTGTAATAATATTACATATTTTATATTTGATTTTTTTTAATAAAATATATTTTTCCAAGTTATTTTTTATTCTACCAATATAATAGTTTTTAGGGGTCGTTTTTGGACTCTCTTCCCCTTGTCACACATTGTCAAAATCTTAATATTCCTCCCCCCAAGTTCTCACGTCACACTCAGATTTTTTTTTATTTTCTGCTTTTTCTACATTAATTAATTTTATTAAACAATTTTTAGAAAGGCAAAATTTGTATTTTTGTATTATTATAATAATAAAAAAATACATTAAAGAGTTATCAACTTTTACATGTAGCATTGGAAGTTGATAGATCTTCTTCTTTAATGTCCTTGCCGAACTCATGAGTATGAGTATAAGGAACGTATGGCTAGCCCCATCGGCAACGCCTTACACTGATCTCCTAGTATTATTTTACCCCCTTTTAGTTCTTCTACGTATCCCTACACTGCACTGCATTACCAGTGTTTGGTGGATCCGAATTTTCACCCTGGTTGGTAAATCTCGTCTAGGAGGCCGTGGATGATAGTGTAGATGGTTAAGGCAATTCCCGGAATTTTGTCGCCGGGTCGGGCCGGGCCATATGCTCGATTTAGTCTAGTGGAAAACGGGACCAGGAGGAAAAACATTTTGGTTTTTGAGGGACATAAACTGACCCAAAACTAAGCACAATCTGGAGTCCCCCTCAACCAGGGATTTAGAAATAACCCCATTCAATTGGGGTTAATAAATGGGGCTTGATTGGTTAATAAGCTGATAGGACCTATCCATGCTGGTTTTGAAGTACCTCCTGATTGTCTGTGTTCGTGTCGAATTCCGAGCTTGCTGACTATCGATAATATTGCACACATAGAAACAATACTATTATTAGTTTCTACATGGGGTGTTTCCATAAAAATTATACTATTTATATGGTTGCACCCCCCTGTGCGTGTGTTAATTTTCGCATAGAACGTCTTTGAGTGGTCGGTCACTTCGGTTGGTTACGCAATTTATGGTCCCCTTAAATGTTTAGTAACTTACGTTTTAGGATTAGTTTCGTTTGCCTAGTGTATGTCTGAATTTAGATGATTAATGGCTTCGTATGTATTTATGAGTTCTTTGGCTATGCTTGCTTTTCTTATGGGAACTGTTAGCGACTAATTAATTTTTGTTCAGTTTAAGTTTACGAATTTTGTATTAAAAATTAGTATTTGGATCATGCAATTTTAGTAAATTTTACTTATCCGGTTTATGCAGACTTGGACTTCGACCGCCCACTTTAGCACCTGTTATTTCTGTGTTGGTAAAGCAGGAAATTATTCGTTGTATCTAATCATCCCACTTACGCCCTTTTTCACAGGTAAAGCACTTTTGGACTTAATCCAGAAGGGGGTACAACATGCAATTTGCACCCTTTTTGCACTTGGTTCTGGGAAATCAAGTGTAAAATCGTTATTGGTTATGTTTTTTAAATTTGAACAACGTTAGCGGTGATAGAAGTACGAACGCATTAAACGAGACCCTACCCATGCGACCGTTTGCCTTAAGGTGCGGAGCGTCACTGACTTTATTAAACTAAACTTATTAAATTTAAAAGGTATGGTAAAAAGTAAATTAACTTAATAACTTCAAATTTATTTTAGCGGACTTTTAGTTATAGTTGACTCAACTGAAAACTTTTTTAATTAGCCGTGTGCTGCGGCCGTAGCTTTCAGAACACTTAGCCATCCGGCTCACTGGGATTTCTTGCCCCTGCTTACATCGTCCTCAAAACATCCACCCTACCGAACGCTTGACGGGAATAAAGCACTTAAACTGACTCAACAACTAACCAGATCTAGCAAAAATATACATGAGCAGAACACTTTGGTTACTCGGATGATAGGCACCATGGGATCCTCCATACATTATTTAATTCAACCCTATAAAATTTGCTAAGGGTAACTCATATGGGCTCTTAACTTTTATCGTGTTTTTAACGCAGCGGCGCGCCAGTCTGGCTATACGTTTGAGAAATTGTCCAACAGATAATTAATTATTCAGAAATGGAATTTAAAATAAAAAAATTTAGTGGAGGGGTTTTGATTATTTTGGTGATACACTTTGGTATACAGGGTGTCACCTTATAAATTTTTATGCTTTGGGGGGGTTGATACTACACGCCAAAACAAGAAAGTTTTTCCTTTATCATTTATGCATAAGAGCTTCTGTTTTTTAATAAAAAAATTATGATGCAAATCGATTAAAAAACCAACACATTCCCATTGACAACACATACCTAACTTCACCACAAACACTATACAAAATTATAAACAACCTCAAAAATAATATAGCCCGGTCACGACCGCATCGACAACATGGCTATAAAACGCATACCCAAGAAAACAACAGTGCAACTTGTCTACATCATCAACGCTTGCATAAGGCTCTCCTATTTCCCAACAGCATAGAAACATGCTGTTATCCTACCACTCCCCAAGCCTGGTAAAGATTTGTCCCTACCTTCCAGCTACCGTCCTATAAGCCTAGTAACCTATCAAAGGTTGCCGAACGCGCAATATTACCTATCCTTAATAAACTCGACAAATCGTTAAAAATTACCCCTCCCGAGCAATTTGGATTCCAACCCGGTTTGAGCACCGTTCACCATGAGGTCAAGCAGGCCTATAACAGTAGCCAGAACACTGTTAAGGCCCTCCTTGATGTCGAAATGGCATTCGACAAGGTTTGGTTGGATGGACTTACTGCTAAACTGTTATTCTTTAATATGCAACACCAAATTGCAAAACTAATCCTATCTGGTCGGACCTTTCAGGTCTGTGTCAACCAGATAAACTCCCAACACTACCAAACCGAAGCACATTGTATACAGCTGACATTCCCAAATCCTCCCACGTTAAAGTCGGCCTTTTCGCCGACGACACATCCATCCTTTCATCATTCTTCCACTCCCAAGTAGCCACAACGCAGCTTAAAATCTACTTAAACACCTTAATCAATTACTTCCATAAATGGAAGTTTAATATCAACTACGACAAAACTGAAGTCATCAACTTCGGTGTCAGTCAAATACACCAAGAATCGAATTTTTGCACCAATTAAACTCAACATCGCTAACATCAGCGACAAGCGCACTGTTAAGTATCTTGGGATTACGTTCGACAAACGATTGACTTTCGGACCACACATAGCGCAGCTGAAACAAAAGTACAGTACAGCAATACATATGCTATACCCGTTAATCAATAAGAATAGTCCCCTTTCCATAAAGACTATTATATAAGACAGCCAGAAGACCTGAGTTAACGTACAGCTGCCCTGTCTGGTGCTGTGCTTCAAATACCCAACTCAACACAGTACAGAGACTACAAAGAAAAGCGCTCAGACATGTGACTAACAGCGGACGATACACAACCATTGCACGAGTTAGCGGAAATGGAACTAATGACAGACAACATTAGTCGCATAGCCAACAACTTTTACACCCATGGCATCCAAAAAAGTCCGCTAACACGTGAAATCACAAACATTCGACAAGGTGACAATGTAACTTACAAACACAGACTGATATACGAAAGTCTGCCAATCTTCCGCTTGCCTAGACATCAGTAACGCACTTTATAATCAACTGTACGTTAAATCCTATAATTTGCAATTTTAACACAAAAATACCTAAAATCTATTAAAATAAATTTTTCTCTTGGCCTAGACACCAAATAGGCACGTAATAAACAAATATTAAGTATAAACTCTTAATTTTAAAATTAATATTTTTTACAAAAATTACATAAAAATCGTTAAAATAACGTAAATTGACTAGAAACGGGCGCCACACCTTTCTAGCATAAATTTAAGGAGGCTAAATGTAACAAAACGGCCGCCACACCTTTACAACAACCCAGGCACCATACCTTTACAATTCAGTCACCATACCTTTATCATAACTTAACACCACACCTTTATATCTAAACAGTCACCACACCTTTATAAGGAACAGTCACCATACCTTTATAGGGAACAGTCACCACACCTGTATAAGGAACAGTCACCACACCTTTAAATAGAGACACCATACCTTTATATTCGGACACCACACCTCTAACTCGACATGACATCAGACTTTTATATACAAACAACACACCCTTAAGTACGATACCCTAACCGACAAAGCCAAAAAGCGCACAAGCCCTGGCGAGTGACGGCGGCTAAATTACTGACCTCACTCAAGTGGGCTCAATTAGGCTGTCGCCGTCCGGCGCGTTATCGCGAACCTGCGGTCGGTTGGGGTAAAAACAACCCCAAAAATAAAACAACCCCTAAACATAATAAAAAATTAGCAGAGCCATAAACTATACCAACTGTTTTAAATAGGTTTTTTTATTCATTTTTCCTATATAAATAAGCCAATAATCTTTAGAAAACGATAACTACAACTAATCCTCAATTATCTTTAGAAAAACGCGAACTGCAGCAGAGCCCCTGAATCGCATTGCGAGTGGAATGGCTAGCCGAACTCTGAAAACTCAAAACATGGTACAAACATATGAACATGGCACAACACCGCCAGTCACCTGGGACGCCTAGGACTCAGCAAAATTTTATTATCAAGCACAATGTGCTTTGCTTTATATAAAATTAAATTCAAAAAGCTTGTTAATATGTATTGTGCAGTGAAATAACCTGTGATATTTTTAAACTGTAAATAAATATTTTGGAATTGGAATTGGAATTGGTTATGACAACAGCTTGACAAGCTTGACAAGTGACAGACCAGAGTTCAATCCCCGGCTGGGTCAAAACTTTTTTAAATTTAGAATTTGATTAATAATTATTAGTGACTGCTTTTTCGCTATGACAATTAGTCAAATATGATTTATAATTAGTTATTTTTGACTAAATTCATTTTAAGAGAGTAAGTTATATTAAAAATTATCATACTTAAGTAATCTTGTATTAAGTTTTTCTTAAGACATTGAGCATATTGTAAACACATATCTGCATGTTTATTCCATCTATCGTTTTGGGTCCATGCATGAGAATCTATAAAATATTCGTTTTCTGTATTATTATCCACAACTTTAACAACCACCAATATTGTATTCCAAGAATGTACCATCATGTCCCAAGAATATCCATATAGTCCATTTGTCCAGTTATTATATCCCTAAAAAATAATATTAATTTTAATACTTTAAAATAACAGTAAATTATAATTAAACAATAACACAGATTTACAAAAATTAACAAACATTCTATCAATAAAATCTATACCTTTCCGAAGGTTTTAAATCCGACCTCAATGCAAAACTAGAAAAAACGCGTTTTGTTACATCACTAAATATTTTTGACAAAACTCGTTATGCCCTCTAAATAATAATTTTTCTTTTACAAATCTAACAAACACTTTTTCAAAGAGGAAAAAGAATATTGCGTTTTTCCAATTTTGGTTTAGAATCACTCGAAAACCTCACGTGATGAAGGATGAATTCGGATTCAGCATGTCAAGAACCGTAAGAAAAACATAGTCTCGTTTCTGTTTATAAAAATTTAGACCAACAATGTAGGTCCTACATACAAACCAAAATTTAAAATTAAAGAGATTTTGGCGTTACATTATAAAATTATGGTATTTTATGATAAAGATATGCATTTTATTTCGGAAATTTATTTTTTATTTGGGTTGTGTTTCTTTGCTTTGTCGCTTGTGGATATTTATTTATCATTTCTTCTTTGTATTTTCAGTTTTTACCATATTTTATCATTTTTTTTGAAATAATAATCATGTACTATGCTCCACACCTCAAAGTCCCACCACGTGACCACGTACGGAACGCAGTCTTTTGAAAATTTGTCATTTAAGGCTTTTTAGGTTATGTATCTGTCAAAGTATAGTCAATGAAAGAAATAATATTTATAGTGTTACCACTTATGTTTAAGTGTTAAAAGTTAATAAATCTTTATAGTATCACAATAACAATGGTTGGTTTAAGAATTTAGGAATATAAATAGTGAATTTAATGAAATTCTAAAGTGTATGGTGTCAAATAAGTGATATTTTTGTGCATTATGGGTCCATAAAATACTTTTTACTAAACCGCATTTATTAAAAAAATCTAACTTCTCTATTATGGAATAAGAATACCTATCTGTATCAAAGGTAGGTTAATGTATTAGAACAAAAAATATCATCTAATTTTGTATTTTAAGGTTAGAAAAATCTATTTTGACCAAAATAAATTAGTGGATTATTTGGAAGAGTGTGTTAATATGGTCATAAATAAATATAGGTATACTAAATAATTGTTAAATATGGTTCAAATTAAATTGAAGCTTTTATACTTCTAACGACAAAACTTGTGCATACCTTTCGGCATACCTACCTTAGATACCTTAGATTATAAGAAAACAAACAATTTTTAGAGAAACTTGCAATGTGAAAATATTTAATACTCCCATGACATGTGATTTATTAAAAACTTTAAAGTTATAATGATTTTTCGATGTAGATCAAATTCAGTCGAAGCATTTTTAAATACCATACAGTCTTTCAAATAATCCAAAATACTTATTTATTTTGGTCAAAATAAATTTTTTTTAACCTTAAAATTACAAAATTAGATGATATTTTTGTTATAATATATTAACCTACCTTTAATACAGATAAACTTATTCCAAAATAGAGAAGGTAGTTTTTTTTTAATAAATGCGGTTTAGTTAAAATTATTTTATATTACTTATTTGGCACCATACACTAGAATTTTATTAAATGCAGTACCTATTTATATTCCTAAATTCTTAAACCACCCATTGTTATTGTAATGTTATAAAGATTTATACATTTTTAACGCCTAAACATAATATTATTTGTTTCGTTGACTATACTTTGACAGATACATAACCTGAAGAGCCTTAAATGCCAAATTTTCAAAAGACTGCGTTCCGTACTTAGTCACGTGGTGGAACTTTGAGGTGTGGAGCATAGTACCTACTTCTGAATAAATTAAACTAAAAAAATGAAATTTGCTTCTCAGTCAGTACCTCATCAACGCTCTTACCGTCGAGACGTGATAGTTTCTCCGCTCTGAACTATTCAAGTATACATAGTCAGTGCATTAAAAACCTAATCCAAAAGTTTAAAAGCGTGAAGTGAACTGCCACCCCACTTGTCGAAGTCACGGAACCACCCACCTGAACAGGTAGTTCATCGCGGCATAAACCTGGAAGAGACTAATTACAAGGGGACAAGAAGCCATATTCAAATAAGTTTTTTAATATTTGAAATTCGCTATTTGCGTAAATAAGAATTCAACGAGCCTACGGGTGTGTTTATACCTTCCCAAGTGACAAATCCGTAGAAATCAACAAGAAATAATAAAAGAGTCGAACAGGGTTAACGAACCCCTAAATTAAATAGACCAAAGATACCGAATGCACAGGCAGTACGACTAAAAGCAACCCGCCGTATAGGATGTGACAAGTAAACCATTTTCTTTGCTTAAATAAACAAACTGCGAGTATATATAAAAAAAGATTTGTCTAACCATAGAGACTGCCTTTCCGCTGGAAAAATGAGTCAAAACTTATAATGAGTCATTTGGAGTGTTTCTAAAAGTGTGGGGAAAGTTAAAATAACACCACAGTGGGACAAATAACTGCGTGCAGTAGATTCCGAATTCCAGCAGACCGGACAGACCCGGATGAAATACAAGACCAGCAAGGATGTCAAGAATCGTACTAATAACCCATGCCTCATTCATGAACCGCAATTGAAATTGAAATTGAGGTCATTACTACCCTGGTTGAGGGGGAGTCCGGATTTTACTTAGTTTTAGGCCAGTTCAAGGCCCCAAAAACCAATTGTTGTCCCTCCTTGTCCTAGACTCCACTAGCCTAAATTGGGCGTATGGTCGGCCCGGCGATAAAATTCCGGGAATGGCCTTACCATCGACACTGTCATCCACGACCTCCTAGGGAAAATTACCTGCCGGGGTGAAAATTGGGATCCACCAAACACAGGTAACGCTGTGCAGTGGCGGGATACGTATAGAACCGAAAGGGAGTAAAAGAACCCTGGAAGATCAGTGCAAGGCGTAGCCGTAGGCCTGCCATACGTTTTTATACTTATACTCATACTCATAAAGAAATGAAATTTACTTCTGTATTTATATAAGCTGAAATTTGTATGCAGAATGGCTTTTAAACCTATATGTTTGATTTTGTATTTTTTTTTGTTATAATAAGGCAATAAAGTTTATTATACCATGGTAGTATGCATATTAATGAAAAACTTTACTGTAAACTGAATAGCATTTAAAAAAATTAATTTTAACACATTAAACATAAGACTATTATAAAATTACATGTAAGAATGTTTTTTGAAACATAAACCCTTGAAACACGACAACGTTGAAATAATATATTAAACAAGATTTTTAAAATTTTTAAAATAACTTTTTATAGTATAAATTGGTGTTAAAATATTATACTGAAAAATAGTAATTTAATATAAATAAGGTTTATTGACAAGTTCTGTTTAACATTATTATTTTAAAAACTATATAATCATTTCAGTTTAATTTAAGCACTATTTATTACCTATTTAACAAATATTTGTATCGAATAAATTAATTAAGTTTATCCATTAAATCTCCTAAATTATTTACACATTCTTTAATTCTATCACAGACTCATTTAACTTCATATCACAAGATTGCAAAATATTCGAATCTATGCATATAGCCACTGACTTTTTAGGATTTAAAAATAAGCCATTGCACTCACTTACACTCACAAGGCCTTGATTTATGTCCTGGATTGCTAAATTATTGCTTGTTGGGGGGCATGAGATGCTGCTATTTGGCAAAGGTTTGATATAAAAATTTAAAAAAGGAGAGGTCCAATGCTTCCTTGGAAAGAAACTCTTAGTGCCGTTTCAGATGAAGCGTAGAACGCGCCCTACGTCCTGCGCCGCGCGTTTTAGGATCGGTCGGTTTTGTTTTCACATGAAGCGGTATCAGTATAGACGTGTCTCGATACACACCAGGCGTTGTTGCCATTTCTGCGTATTGCCTAATTAATAAAACCCGTGAACGAAAAAAACGACTTTGGGTACATCCAACTGTGGAACAACGGTTACTAAAAGGTGCATTTGTCACCCTGTATACTAGGGTGGAGTGAATTTTATTAAATTTATTAATTGATTTTTCCTATATTATTAATTGTTGACTAAAGGCGTAAAATGAATAAATATCGAAAAAATATTTCAATTTTTTAATATCTTGAGGTGGCGCATCAGTCTCGAAGTTTTGAAAATTCTAAAAAAATATTACTTTAATCAAAGTAATAAAAATAGCATTATTTATAAATAAAAAGTTTATTTTAGTAAAATTAACGTGAAACGTAAACATATTTAATAGTAAATCATATGCTTTAAGTAACTTCAGGAGTGTTTATTGGTAGAAATGAGATCTTCTTTTTCGCGAAAATACTGACATTTGGTATAAAAATTTGGTAATTATTTTCTGACTTTAATTCTTGTTCTGATGAAACCATCTCTTGCTTCCGATCCACAAACCGAGACTGAAGATTCTGTATACTGGTTATAACCAGTTTTACACAGCGTTCCACTGCTTGGGTGTGATACGGAAATTTTTGGAAGTATAGGAAATGGTCACCCGAAGAAATCATATCGGTAATTTCTGTCATCGTATTTCATAGTCATAGGTGGTTCAGTTACCTTTTCTGTCGCCCAGTGAATTAACTCGTAAAAATGTAATGCTTCAGTATTTAGTTGTGGAAGCTTTAATTCCCGTAATCTCGAACATTTTGATTCTTTTCTCGCCTTTAATATTTTCGGCAATGCTAGTTCTCTGATCGATAGATATATTGTAGGTAACATAGCTAGTAATAGGTTTTCGGGATAAATATTAGCTATAGCTTACAAAGATCCAGGCAAGCTAGCACATTCCCTATGGCTGACGTGGGCTAATAGGATTATTCGTTTATATGGGGGGACAGCAAATCCATCGGAAAACCTAAAAGAATTGGCTACTTTTATCATGAAAGTGTATGCCCCAACGTGGTTTTACATCAACAGCAAGCCTACGTGCAAACATGGTCCTATTCACATATTTAATTTGACTAAAAGAGCATTACACCTCCAGA